TTGCACATCTCTTCCCTCTCTTATTCCCACTCTTATATTTAACAGCGATCACTTTTCAGCAAACTGGTAGGAATTATATATTCATATTTTGTGAGTATTTTAAATTTTATATGAATGAAACTGAACATCTTTTTGTGTGATTATTATTTATAATGCTTGCCTATTTTCCTGGGGGCTGTGGTCTTTTTTTTTTTTTACTGTTGAACTCTTTATTTAGTGAAGCCATTAAGCCTTTGATTATAATGTAAATTAAAAATATGTTCTCAAAAATAACAAATATTAAGTTAGAAAGTTGCTTCATGCAAGCTGCTCTTAGTCCAGGGTGAGCGCTGTCTCAGTTACTGAGGACAGGCTGTGAATACTCAGCGTATCATCATGGCAGCAGCTGAGGGAGGGAGAGGGGCTCAGTGGAAGGGAAAGCTTCCTGCATGGGCGTGACCCCCAGATGTGGGATTCTCCTGGGTGAATGCAGTCTCAGCCAGGGGGTCTGAGCTCTACTGGGGGCTGCCACTCGAGTGGTGGGAGGGCCTGTGCCAGGGTCTTCATGACGGGACCCAGGGTGTGGCTCAAAAGCCACAGTGCCTCCATCCCTGGGATGCACACCTCCTGGGAGATTGTACACGTGAAGCTGCGAGATCCATATGAGTATCCTTCATTTTGAACACAGGAACAATGAACAAGGGCTTGTGCTACATTCATCTGTGGGGTGGAAGATGCCTCATGGCCAATCTAGTGTTTGCTGTTTTATTGGGAGATGGAGCTATTGACTGAAATAATCAATCTTGTTAGAGAAGCACAGTTAGCGTTTACCCAGCAAGTCACAGGGAGGCGTTAAACCTGGAGACGGCTGAGTTGGCCATTTCACAAGCTGAGTTTAACTATAGATTTCATATTTTTGTTACAGGGTGGGTACGTGCATCGAGTAAGGTTTAAACAAGACAGATTTATGTGTGGTTTTCAATCCTATTAAAAAAACAAAGAATTCAGTACCAGTGTTCTGGCATAATGGGTAAGGCTGCCACCTGCAACACTGCCATCCCATATGGGTGTCAGTTTGTGGCCTGGCTGCTCCACTTCTGATTCAACTCCCTGCTAATGGCCTGGGAGAGCAGTAGAAGATAACCCAAGTGCTTAGGCCCCTGCCGCCTGAGCCAGATGAAGCTCCTGATTTTGGCCTGGCCCAGTGCTGGCCATTGCAGCCATCTAGGGTGGGAACCAGTGGAAGGAATATATCTCCTTCTCTGTCGTTCCTCCTCTCTAACTCTGACTTTCGAATTAAAAAATTTTTTGAAAGAAGAAGCCTTCCCAGAACTCTAGCCTCAGCTTAAGCACCTTTTTTCCTTTGCTGCTGCCACTCTGTCTTACTCCCTTCTTTCCTGTCTGTCTCCTCACACGTGTACTTACTCGTCTTCCCTCACTCTGCCGTGAGATCCCCCCGTCCAGCCCCATCTTAGTGGCTATCACGGGGATAAGGAGAATCACTAGCATTTACTGAGCACCAAGCACTGGGCACTGTTCTAAGCACTTGCTACATTAATCCTTATAGCAACTCTAAGAAGTAACGTGAGTGAAATTAAAAAGTCTACCGAAAGTCAAGAAGATGGTGAATGGCAGCACTGGAATTAGAACTCAGTTTATGACTCCTGAACCTGCGCTCAAGACATAAAGCATCTACGTTTGTGTTGAATGAATGAAGGAATGAATGGTAAAAAGACCGTTAGGAGCATGTTTGTTGGCTTGACAGTTAAGACATTGGTATTAATGGTGGAGTATGGTGGAGTCTTTTAAGCCTGATTAGTGAGAGTTCAAGAAGGAAGCAGGAAAAGTCCGAGGCATGCTGCAAGGTGTCTATGTCCTTATATCAATAGGATGCACAAGACCTTGGACTTGAATGTCTTTGCAGGTTATTGTGCCGGGACATGGGCATCTGTGTGAACTTGAGAAAAGCAGCACCATTGATAATCAAGCACTCACCTTGGTCCTCTCTAGTGGCCCACCTTACGCCAGGTACCCATTGACCTCTGAGTATCTGGTCCATGCCACGTGTCCTACTGGATACCAGGGAGCAAAGCTGAATAAGGGCCTCCAGACCTGAAGTCACGTGGATGCTGACTTCTTGCAGCTATCTGTGCTACAGACCTTCTGCTGGCTCCAGGTAGCAGCATCCCAGGCCATCTCCAGGTATCTCTGCATGCCACCCCCCAGGTGTCTACAGGCACCAGTGTGTCTGTAGCACAGGCCTACCTGTGGTTCATCTCATCTGCAGGTCCTAATCACATGCCCAGCTTGTGACTGCGGGCATCAGTGGGAAAGCACTCAGCATCCTGTGGGTCGCAGAGGTAAGGGACTGATGACAGGGTCTCGCTGGCCAGCCGTCTCCTGCGAGTATTATGGATGTGTCAGAAGCCTCTCCCACTTCAAAGCAGATGCCTAGGATCAGTTCCTTGTTGAGGCTCACACACACACATGTATCTGTTGACATCTCAACTACTTGAGAACAAGAAGTATATCAGACTTGATACCAGTCGCTGGCATGCCAGGAACAGATATGTGCTTGGTCATTCTTGGCTTTTGACCAAGTGTCCCAAGACTGAGAGGGCTCTCCAGCCAGTCAGCCTCTCTGTGAGGTCTCTCTGGTCTGTATGTCAATGGGCTCCTGCAACCTGGGAATGCCACCTGCAGTCTCCTCCCCACAGTGCTCCTAGCACATGGAACGTTCTGACGTTTTTGTGAACTAGAGAAAAGCCCCTCCTGGGATACATTAGCACAAAACTGCCTCCCACCATAGGCCAGGCGGGCACTTAGCACTTGGAGAATCTCTGGCACATGCCACATGTTGTCCTGGTCACTGGGAAACAGAGTTGCACCTCAGAGACTGACTGTCCAGTACAGTGGGAAGAACAGGGTGAGACAGAAAAGGAGGGGAAGGAGGAAGAAAGAAAGGGAGCCTTGAGTGTTGTTCTGAAGCTCTCAGGACTCATCCTTTCTTGGATTCCTTTAACCCAACGTGACTCACCCTGCCAGAAACACAGGAGATGCCGTCCCTCCTCGTTCTCGTCTCCCCGGTCAGCTCAGCACTGTGCTGGTACACACCAGTTCCAGACGTGGAGGTTCCTACAGGCAGGCTGCTCAGCAGGGGGAGAGGACATCATGCTAGGCTCCTCTGTCCTCAGAAGAGGACACAGGATGAGCAGACACAGACAGGCATAAAATAACCAGGGGCCTGTTCAGGAGAGGTGTCCTGGATGAAGCAGTGGCACTTCAGGCCGAGTTTGCCATCATCTTGCCTCCCGGAAACCCACCAGGCAGAGTCCTTTTACCTCACAGCCGTCCCTGAGCTGTACCTGGAGGAGGCAGGCATCCGTGCAGGTTGAGACCTGCAGTCCTGAGGTGTGGGTGGAGATGGCTGACTTGTTGGTAGGAACGGAGGCTATCGTGGGGAACAATTAGAATAATGTTTACTCTGACCATATGCAGTTCCAAGTACTTGCCTTGTTAATTCATGAAAATGACTCTTAAGAAATAGACTCGTGAAAATTCAAAAACTGGCCAGAAGTCACAAAGCCAAAGAGTGGCTGAATTAAGATTTGAACTCAGTTTATGACTTGAGAACCTGTGGTCATAATAGCAAACATCTCAATGTTTGATGAATGAATGAAGTCCATGGGGAGGCCATTGGGAACCGGTTTAATGGATTCAGAGTTAGTGACTTGGCACTATGGTTGTGTGTGCCAATTTCCTGTGATCCTTTTAGTGTGAGCACAGTTTTCCTATGAACACAAAGGACCATGATACTTCGGTAATACCACACTGCCCTGAGTGAACTTCCTGCCCCTCTAAGCTCTGTGTCAGTGCAACACTCAAGCCCCTGACTCAGCATCTGCACCTTGCTTCCAGGTGTTTGTGGCAACATGTTTGCTTTCTGGCACCTGTGTAAGCTTGAGAAAAACTGTATCTCAGTTGACATTCAAACGCTGTCTGTAAGCTCTTGACCCTCTTAGGTCAAGTACTGGTTTAGCCATTACTGAGTATCTCCATGCCAGGTGTTGTGCTGGACTCCAGGGAAGAAAGTTGAGTGAGGGCTTCCAGGAACCGCCAGTCCAGAGAGGCACTGTCCAGTACATTGCCTGCAGGAACTGTTGGAAAATGCTTTGATATGGGCCGTATTAAACAGAATTGGACTTTGTGTCCTGAAGACAGTACTTGGGAGTTCATGGTTAGTTATCAGCAGAGCGGAGATACAGTCGTCTCTCCATGCAGCCACGTCTGCAGTGAAGCAGGGCCGTGTTGTGTTGAGGAAACCCATTTATTTAGGAATAGCTGCAGGGAAAGCAGTGCCTGGCACAGAGTATGTACAGAAATGTCTCTTCAAGGCACACGCTGGGGAAAGGGAACGTGCGATAGAGCTGGGTGTGAACCGGAGCCAGACCTAGAGGGCCCTGTCCTGCAGTCGGATTGAAACTTCGGCTCAGAGCTGTGAGGCCACTGCAGTGTCGGATGTGATGTGACTAAGTGTGCAGCTGCTCATACACAGTGTCTCCCCAGAGGTACCAGTATCCTGTGAGAGACAAGCAGTAATGGGCTGGAATCTGGGGCTCCGAGGCCCTCAGGTGGAAGTCAGCCAGTGGTGGCATCTAGGGGCTTATCAGGACCTTGGCATGTTCAGCTGGGTAGGGGACAGCGAGGCCACGGGTGAGCACCCCAGCCATGGTATTGCCAAGCTTCCAGGCCTCAGAGAGTAGTAAAGGCCTGGGATGACTTTTTCTCTTAAACTAGAACCTAACAAAAGCAAACATGAAATTTCCTACAGAATATAGTTACTTCACAAACAAAATCACAAGTGAGGCTGACGTTCCTGTTCAGCGGTGTTTATAGTAAATGAATATGATAGGGTATGTGGAGGGGTCCCAGATGCGGGGGCAAATGTCAGTTCATGCGTCTCACGTGTCCTTTCTGCACCTGCCACGTCCCAGCTCTGCTGCTGGCTCCAAGCAGCAGCGTCCCAAGCCATCTGCATCCAGTGATGCATATGCCCTCTGCAGTACCTCCTTGCCATGGTGCATTTAGCTCCCTTAAATCGGCAGTTTTTCATGCTGTTTCTCTCCAGTTACCAATGTCCTGTGGAAGACAGAGGAGGTAACAGAATGTCATCTGGCCAGCCATCTCCTAAAACGTGAATATGGCTGGGTTCAACCTTTGACACACTCGTTAAAACCGGAACGGACCAACGGGACTTACCTGCTCGGTACAGAGGTGATGCTTGCCCCTCATTCTCCCTTATCTGCTCCAGTGCTGCAATTTTTGGTACACACCAACATAAAACAAAACCACAGATGCGCATCTCATGCAGGCGAGCCAGCCGATGACCTGTGGGGAAAGCGACATTGTGGTAAGCCCCTCTTAGCACAGAGGAGGGATCCCAAGGTGGGGCTGGAGCAAAACAGGGGAGTAAGACCACTAGGATCTGATGGTGGGAGAGGCATCCTGGAGCTGAGCAGAGTGACCCTTGGGGATGAAAGGTTGCTGTCCTCCTGCCTTCCCGATCCCTCCATACTCACTAGGCCTGGCTCCCGGGACTCAGAGAATGTTCACAATGGTCCCTGAGCTGTGTCGCTGAGAGGCTGCCATCTCTCCAGGGGGAGACCTGGAGAATCCTCAGGTGTGGGTGAGGATGGCAGGCTTGTTGGCAGGCAGCGGGAAAGGGGGCTTAGAAGGGAGTGGAGCCCCTGGCGGCGGGCGGATAGGGATGAAGAGGGTAGAAAGTGCAGCAAGGAGTGGTTGGCCTGGGTGCTCGGCAAGGATCGGCTTTGCAGGGTTTGTAGGTACAGTTGGCAGGGATGCGAGAAGAGCCCTCTCTATTTATGGGAGGGAGATGGCTGGGGCGGAGAAAGGTGCAAGGCGGCTGTGCCCCAAGAGTCGTTGTGAGGCTGTCAACGGAAGGAGCAAGCGGAGGCAGGCGGGCCGGACGAGGTTGACGGCAGAGAGGCGTGGGCGGTGGGTGAGGCTTCAGGGCGAGCTTCAAAGGAGGCTGAGGCTGGGGAAAAGGCACAGGAGGTGGTGGAGGCTGTCGTTGGCCTAGGCCAATGGGAGGAAGCTTTCTGGTCATCCTGGATGAGTGTTACTGCTCTGAAGTAGAAGCAGTAAAGAAGCTAGGCCCCCCAGCTCTGGCTTTTATAGCCGACAGCAGGGCCCCTCATTAATGTATCATCCTTTGTCTGATATGACATGTTTGTGCCCCTCCCCTTCAGTGCAGGGGGGCGGGGACGCACCCACCAGGCCATGGTGTCTCAGGGGAAAAGTAATCCAAACAGCAAAGAGAAGAATGGTCTGTAATGCTGGAACCATACTGAATCCTTCTTTCTTTCCTTTTCACAGCTGGTTAGCAAAAGCTACTTCTGCGCTTGTGACTAATTAGAGCGTCTGTTCAGTTCAACAGATAAGTAGTACTTGCCGGGGAGTTCCTGAAACTGGGCTTGGGAAAGTCACCTGCAGTTCCAGGTTGTCTCTCCCTCCCTGGTCAGCAAGCACGGAGGATTGCATTGATTGTAACAGAATGCAAAGGGGCCGTGTGCCAAAGGCACAATATGCATAGGTCCTGTGTCTCCCCCAAGTGAGCCTCCTCCTGGTAATGAGTACTGGCATCTCTTAACACGGCCCTTGCCTCCTCTCTGTTGCCGTGCAGTAAAGTTTTAGAGCTGCTTGGTTGTCCAGAATACCCTGTTCTGCCCTCCCCGTGGTGCAGTGCAGCCATCAGCAAGCTGTTCACGCGCCACTGATGCCCGAGATGGAGAAGCTGCCCTTCACCAGCGTCGTGCTGTCTGCTCCGGGTTTGCTGGTAGTCACATCCTCCGCGGCCCAGTCTCTCCCTTGCACCCCGAAAAACCTCAGGACACCCTCTCAGAGTAAGGTGCAGTTTCTGAGAAACTTCTTCATCTGTCCTCAGCCCTGTCGTCCTCATTCTGTTTGGCCCTGTTCACAAGGCCTGGACTTCCCATAACTCTGTCAGTCCCGAGCTTGAGATAACAGAGTTTGCCCCTCAGCTTGGCTGAGACTGACCAGAGGCCAGGATGGAGCCGAGGGCACGGGGCTGAGGAGAGCAGCCTCACAGCAGGAATTGGGGAAACGGAAAGCAGGAGTGCCCCAGTCTGTCTGCCTTCAGTGCAGCCTGTTCACATGTGGGTGTCACAGCCAGCCAGACACTGGTGCTCCTGAGGTCTCGTGCAGAGTGTTTCCCATGCATGAGGGAGATGCGTGGTCCACGCCATGGTCTTCACCAAGGGTTTGTTTTCTTGCTGTGAACTCTTGGGAATTTTTCCATTGTCCCTTTGATGCCCCCACTCTGTGACCTGGTAAAAAAATGGAAGCAGGCCAAAATATTTCCCTTCCAGTTGTGTTTTCCTGGACCCACCACAGATTAGATGTCGTGGTTACGTGGTTACTGTGATTGTTGGCACTTGTGTGGCCCTCTGTGACTCTCCACATCAGGTGTTGTCAGCACACTGTGTTTTCTCACCTTGGGTGTGGAGAGAGTTTAGTTTTACTGCTAAATGTTCTTTCATTATTGGAATGATAAGCTTTGTGACCTTAATTCCATTTAGTCTTGAAAGGTTCAATTTGATGACATCCCTTGTGATTTGTTTTACATATCTGTCACTTCTTTCAAATTGCATGTTCATTTACATTTGAGTAGTCCATTGTCCACTGTGACATCTTTGTCCAGGAATTGGTCTGGTAAAAGCCTAGTTTTCCATGGTCAGTTCATGTTTCTCTTATGCTTCTTTAAGGCTCCACCAGCTCAGATCTCACTTCTTCATATGGGCATGTGATACATTTCCTGAACTTTTCTGTTTTGAGCCCTTCTGTTGTTTCATTGGGCACTTGGAATTTTATGGTCACAAAAGCCATCCTGAAAGCACAGTGACTGAGCCTCTCGTGTGACCTGTGACTACCTGGAGAGCAGGAGGTTCTCTCATTCTTTCATCTTCAGATGGAAGATTCTCTAGGAAGACTAACATTAGAGGTATTTCTTCATGTCTGTATTCATTCATTGGCAAGTAAAAACAAAAGCGCTGTCCCTCGGGTGGGGTGAGTCTGTCCAAGCTTCATATGGCGGATTCGCACATGGGTCAGGCCTCTGATCTCTGAGATTGGTTCTTCCCCCCTTACCACGTCCCCAGAGGCAGGGCTGACCCTTGGTCTTGGTAGATGTCCACCTGCAGGCCCTGCCTCTGCGCTCTTGTTCCATGGTCCTGTGCTTCTCAGCCTTGGCGATAGTGACGCTTGGTGTTGAACAATTCATTGCTCTTCTCCACAGGGCCTGTCCTGGTCACTGCTGACCTCTGCCCCCTGCCCGCCAGTAGCGTGCTTCTTCCTGTTCCTTTCCCCACCAGCGAGGTCCACACAGTGCCCTCTGTTGTAACTGTTTCCCTACCCTGTGTCATTATCCGTAGGCTCTCCGCTCCGGTCTCTTCCACAGGGCAGCCAGTAGAGCAGTGTTTGTAAGCCAGAGCGTTTTGGCTGCTGTGTTGGATGCTTTCAGAGTTCCACCTTGTTCAGTGCAGAGCTCTAGACCCTGATCATGGTGCAGGGAATATTAATCACTCACCCTGCCTCTGCCTCGGAGCCCTCCCCTAGTCCCACCACAGATGGACACTCGCAGGCAACCCCTGAATTCTCTCCTGTGCCTCAGGAACAGGTTCCACACTTTGAAAACAGCGAGATTTTTCCTATCTCTGTCTGGTGTTGTCATTTCTTTCTGTATGGGATATGCATGGCACCCTGAAGGGGCAATTTAATGGCATTCCTTTTGTAAATTTAATCACCGCCTCCTGAGAGCCCTGGCATTTACTACAATCCACACTGAGCATACTAAAGAGTTTAAATACTTGTTTACAAGGAATTTGCAGCACGATCTATTCTCCCACCCCAAGCCTGGTCTATAGAAGTGAGAAAAAGCATGTATTGGAAGACAGAAAACAGGTGTGTAACTGCAGGGGTGCAGGTGGGAGAGCAGGCTGGGCCCTTCAAAGCCCTCACAGGTGACACAGGAATTCCAAGAGAAAGGATAGAGATTGAGAGCACAGGAGAGGAATAAGAACAGGAGAAGTGTACGCGGAGGTTAGGGGAGAAGGTATACGGGTGGGGAGGAGTCTGGGCTTGGTTAGGAGGTCAGGGGTCTTGCTGTACACACTCCTGAGCAGCAGGTAGCAGGGTTCACCCTGGTTGCACAGACCTTGGAAATAGAACACACAGGAAGCTCATGAGGCAGTTGTGGGATTACCCTTCCCAGAGTCAGAGCACACTGTCTCTCAGGGCACCTGAGCTTGAGTGAGGGGAAGGCAGGAAGCTGGGGTAGCTGGGCCCTATGATGTCCTCATTTCCATCAGCGTTGGAAATGGGCACCCGGCGCTGGCAGAGGAGGTGAGGGAGGTTGATGGACAGCACCAGGACGTGAGATAGGAGGGGTCTGCGTGGTGGTGATGGGAGCCTCCTGGGGAAGGTTTTCCTCCAGTGATCTCCTGGTGAGGGGAGGGCGTGTCTATCCCCAGACACTGCGATACTCCCCCGTGCTGTCACCTGCACAGTCAGGCTGAAAGTGTTCAGAGCCTGCTCACCTAGCCCATCTCTTTCCATTCTTTCTGCCTCTTACCCTGTCAGCACCCGTGTTTCTCCCACGTCTGCCTCACATGATGTAAACTTGACAGGCTCGGGCCATGGAGAAAAGGATCTATATCCATGCTACTCCTAGAAGACGTTATTGGACTGAGTGGGTGGGGCTGCGAGATGGGAGTCACGAGTGGGGTGCTGCTGTGTGCTCTGTGTTGTTCCTGTAGGCATCAGGACCAGTTAGACAACAAAGAGAACGTGGGCAATTCCCTAAGTCTCCAGCGGAACTGAACCTGAGCCGACGCTCTGCCCGCTGCTCTCTTGAGCCCAGGTGAGCACCTGTGCCTCCCTGACATACTGTCTTAGTAGTTTGGCCTCCTGGAGCCTAGAAAGTCCAGGGTCGGTGCCAGGATTAGGGTTCAGGTGCAAGCCCTAATCTGGGTCATCACTCCTGGGTTGTGTCTCCTCCTCTGTGAGAGCATTATCCCATCATGAGGGCCCCACCCTCAGGACCTGAGCTAAGTCTGATGACCCCTAAAGACCCTCCTCCCACTACCATCCCATTGACGGTTAGGGTTTGGACACAAGAACTTGTCTGGGTAGACAAATATGCTGTCCGTGACTTGAGTGTTTTCCTACATTCAGCCTGAACGTCTCAACAGGAAGAGGGAATGTGGCCTCTCACAACAGTCCTGAATGTCTGAACAGCTCTGCCTGACAGAAGCGTTCCTAAGTCAGGCCGAAGTTGTCATCTTGGTAAGGTTGATATCTAATTCTGCATTTGGGGGCTAACACAGGCAGTCTTCTCATAGTCTTTAACAAAGTCCTCCCCTCCCCTTATCTCCCTGTCCTTCTCTTAAAAATGAGTACTGTTGTGCGTAAATACTGATTGAGTCCCTACTGTGTGCTTGCCCAGGTGATTGGCACTGGAGGTACAGTAGTGGGTAAAATGCAGTCCCCGCTTTGACAACACACCACAATCACCCTGATGGTATCAGGGAGTGGGAAGTTTGGGGGGGGATTGAAACAAGCTAGAGCATGCAGATGCAAGAATGCTGAGGTGACATCCCCAGATGGGAGGACGGCTGGGCAGAGGCCAAGCAAGTGAAAGAGCTGACCTTTAAGTCCACGGGTGACCAAAGTCTAGAGTAGTGGAGTTCATGGCACAGGAACTTGGGTACAAGCTTAGGTGGCAGTTGATGGACAGGAAGAACTCCAGGGTGGCTTTGTGGAGGGAGAAAGGGCATCACAATAGATGGTGTTGAGAATCAGGAGGTGAGATTTGCATAGGGCCCACTGAGCTGCCCATTCTCCAAGGAGGGATTTCAGGTGGGCAGTTGTGTGCGTGGACTCCAGGGCAGGAGCAGGGGCAGGAAGAGAGAAATATGGAGATGTGTTTATGCCACAGGCTGGTTTCTTGGGCTAGATGGTTTCATATCCTGATTCTGCTGTTGACTGAGTTACTTGGCCTCATGTTGGGCTTAGCAGATCTTAGAAATGAAGAGCTCAGAGCGGACCAAGAGTTCACACAGATGCTCTGAGATATCAGAAGCTCTGCCCTGTACTGACATTCCTAACACCGTCCACACCAGGTATTCCCTCCTTCCCTTCTGCCACAGTCAAAGGGCCCCCTCCTCTTATTTGTAGTCTGCTTCCCACCCTTCCCTGCCTTGCCCCTTGGTTTCATCTGCCACCTTCTGTACTTTGATCCCTCTCTGTGAGTATGAATCAGTGAGTTCCCTCACATCAGCAGCAAGCCATAGCCTCTGATCTGGATCCCACATTGCCTCCACGCACAGCTCCTGGACTGGAGACCTCCTTTCCACCTTGTGCCCATGTTGCCACCACTCTCCCAAAGTCTGATTGTGGCTATTAAGGGGCATTGCAGATCTGGTCTTCCTTGACGCACTTGGGCTCACAGGCCACCCTCTCTTGGAGACCAGGTCTCTGCCGGGGTTCCTGTGCCACCTGCCGCCTTAGTGGCCCCTACGTCTTTGGATTGTGCACGTGTTGTGCTGAGGCTGCTTCAGCTCCCTGCAGCTTGGTCCTGTCCTCCATCCAGTGGCTGCATATCCAGCAGATGCTTCTGGCGGCACTCGGATTCATCTCCAGGGTTTTCCCCTCACCTTAAGTACATCAATCTGACAGACATGGGGAAGGTCCCAGCCTCAGCCAGAGACTAGAGCCTTCAGGAGCTGTCCTCTCCTCTTTGTCCAGACCTCACACTCCTGTGCTGCCCGTGTCCGTGAGGGGCGCTGTCACCAGGCCGTAACTCAGACTCAGGACTCACCCTTGACCCTCTCTGTCTGAGCCAGCCTCAGTCACTTACCTGTACCCTTAGGTCCCACCCCCAAGAGCTGCCATCTGACACCTGCCTCTCCTGCCAGGAAGCACCACCTGGGTTCCAGCTCCCCCTGTTCTTAAGTTGCAGCAGTCAGCAGCTTCCTCTTCCAGTCCAATCTCCGCCTGCACCCAGAGTGACGGTTTCCAGATGAGGGTCTGACGCCTAGTTCATGTTTTCTCGTCTCTCATTGAGAATACCACCCCCTGCCCTGTTTATAACTTGCTTTGCTGGACGTGTCCTTGTCTGCCTCACCTGGCCTCGTTCCCACCTTCCTGACCTCATGTGACCGTTTTGCTGCAGTGGCTGCCTACGGTGACGAGGGGCAGCTTAGTGTGCCTGCCCTTTACTGTGCAATCCCCAGCCCGTTCCTGCGGCTGTAGCCGAGCCTCTCTCTGTATGTGAGAGATGGGGGACTTTTGTGGTGAGAGGCCATGTGCTGGTTGTTCCTGCTCAGTGACCTCAGCCCTGCGCTCTCCATTCCCGTCCGTGAGCTTTCATGCTGATTCCTTTACTTCCTGAAGTCTTCTATAGCTTTTTTAAGTTTACTGATAATTTTTATCATTCAGGTGATTGTTTTAGTACATTTATGGTTAATGTAATTATTATTGTAATTAGGTTTGAGTCTGTCACCTTACCGCCATTTGTTTTCTATTTGCCCTAAATATCCCTTTCTAATAAAAGATTTATTTATTTGAAAGTCAGAGTTACACAGAGAGAGGAGAGGCAGAGAGAGAGAGAGGTCTTCCATCCATTGGTTCATTCCCCCACTTGGTCACAATGGCCAGAGCTATGCCAATCTGAAGCCAGGAGCTTCTTCCAGGTCTCCCGTGCAGGTGTAGGGGCCCAAGGACTTGGCCATCTTCTACTGCTTTCCCAGGCCATAGCAGAGAGCTGAATTGGAAGTGGAGCAGCCGGGTCTTGAACCAGCGCCCATATGGGATGCCAGCGCTTCAGACCCAGGCATTAACACACTGTGCCACAGCGCCAGCCCCTGCCCTAAATATTCTTTATTATTCCATGCTTCTTGCCTTCTTTAAGGTTGCAAATTCTTTTTAAATTTTCATTTTTTATTTATTTTAAAGCCAGAATGAAAGAGAAAGAGAGCAAGTTCTCCCATCCACTATCTGGTTCACTCCCCAAATGACCACAGAAATGTAGGACTGGGCCAGGCCAAAGCCAGGAGCAAGGAGTTCAGTTCATGTCTCCATGTGGGTGGCAGGGGTGCAGATTAGCAGGAAGGCAACGTCTGTCGTGGAGCCTGGACTGAAACCCAGGAACTCTGAGGTGCGAGTGTCGCAGGTAGCATCTCTTAAAGAGTTTGTCTGCACTTTGCCTGTCTAGCCTTGATAAGTGGTAGACTCTAAGAAACAAGGAAGAGATGAATGTTTCCTGTCTTACAAAGATTTATTAAGAGTGACAGAGAGACTGCTGTGGCCCGGGAGAGCAGCGGAGGATGGCCCACGTGCTTGGGTCCTGCACCCGCATGGGAGACTGGGAGGAAGCACCCAGCTCCTGGCTTCGGATCAGCGTAGCACTGGCCGTAGCGGCCACTGGGGGAGTGAACCAACGGAAGGAAGACATTTCTCTCTGTCTCTCTCTCACTGTCTATAACTCTACCTGTCAAATAAAAAAATAATAATAAGTTAAAAAAAGAGTGACAGAGGGAAAAACAGAGATCTTTCATCCTCGGGTTCATTCCCCAAGTGGCCGCAGAGCTGGGGCTGGACCAGGCAAAGCCAGGAGGCAGGAGCTGCAGCCAGGTCTCCCACATGGGTAGTGAGGGGCCATCTTCTGCTGCCTCCCCAGGTGCATCAGCAGGAAGCTGGGTTGGAAGCAGGGCGGCAAGACCCTGACCTGACGGTGCAGTGTGGGGTGTTGCTGTCACAGATGATGCAACACCTGGCAGCGCTGGCCCTGTGCAGACAAGCTTTTAACAGAAGGCACTGGGGCTGACAGGGTTCTTAGTTCTGTAAATGGCTCCATTCAGTAGGGAAACACATGATAAGGTAGCTGCTGCCACTCCTGTCTCCCTTAGATCTCTGTAGTGCTTTCCAGCACTCCTCGTGTGCTTACAGAGAAGCAGTTTCCAGGCACCAAGTAAGGCAACTTCTTGGCAATCCCTATTTTGGTGATGGCTTCCATTCCCTGGGGAAACACATGGTGAATTGAGAACATTCTCATTCATGTCTGTCCTAGATCTCAGTGTCCTAGAAGGGCAATGCACAGACACTTGAGGTATACAGACAAATGTAAACAAGGCAGTAACCAGCAAGAAGGAGCTAAAATGACCAGCACCTCCCACACACACTGTACGCACGTGGAATGGGCTTCTCTTTCCCTTTGGCCCATCCAGACAGCATCTCTAGCCCCAGGGCAGGGCCTTCCCCACCAGCAGAGGACGCCCCTTGGCACCTCGGTCCTCCAGTACACACCTGGGTCTTGGAGTCAGGAAGAGACAAGGGAAGACAGCTTGGGGTCCCAGTGAGAAGGTTTCCTGAGCTGTGCAAGGCTCCAAAGGATGACTGGGAGAGGAGCAGGCATCTGTCTGGGTCTGTGCCCCCCAGCACAAGGGCTGCCCTGCCACAGAGAGAGCCAGAGTCACAAAGACACTGAGAGATGAGAAAGAGACAAAGAGAAGTCAAGACACAGACTCAGGACCTGGGACTCCAAAAACTGTTTTAGTTTAATGCATTTTAATATCAAAAGAAATAAATATTAAAGAATACATGATAAAGTGGCTTGGATTATACTTGTTTTATACCTATACAGGCATCTTCTTTCTGATGGGGCAAGCCCCCCCCCCAGGCTGAGGCTCCCAGCAGAGGAACTTGAGTCCTGGGAGAACGAGGCTTGGCATGGAGGGTGCAGACCAGCCCCACAGAGAAGGCGAGCCCAGACGTGGCCTGTTTTTACTAACAAGAAAAGGAGATGGAAAAGGTGAGTTTCCTAAAGGAATGGCCTGGCCTACAGGGTTGTTAGAGCAAGGGCTAAGGCAGTGTCTGGGATGCAGCACAGTAGGTGCAGGAGGGCGTCCCCCATTGCGGTTTGCAACCCTGACAAAGACTGCATTCCTGCAGCTTCCCCTGGGTCACTGGCAGTCTGGCCCCCTCTGGAAAGAACGCAGCAAGATCTGCCTTCCTGGACCATCTGAAGAACAAGCTCCAGGGGTGATCTGCCCCATTCCTGTCTTCCCCTTGTCTGAACCCTACACTACAGCTTGCGGTCTCCAAGCCCTTCCCCATCCAGCTTCCTCGCCCCATGTGCCAAGGTGCCAGCCCCTGGAGCACCATAGGCAGCCCCTTAGCAGCTTGCCTGGCATCTCAATTGGACCTTCACAACGAGTAGCTGAAAGTGCCACCAAGACTGAGTCAGGAGTACAGCTCTCCCCCAAGCCTAGTGGATCTCTTGGAAAGAGTGATTCAGTCTGAGTCTCTCTCAGCTGCCATGTTGTATCATGGGATACACAGACACAGTCAGATTGAGATCTGTGTCCCTCCTCCTGGCTGGCTTATGACATCACAGATATGGTAATATAATGTGACCCAGGAGTATGCCTGTCCTTCTCATGACTGACATGTAATATATTATGTGTGACACAGATGATGTGGACCTGAGTTCTTAATTTCTTTTTGAAGTCCTCACACACACAGAAATAAGAATTCAAAGCATCCATATATATGTGTGTTTGTGTGTGTGTATACATACAGCACAAGTGAGAACAAGATTTATTTTACAATTAGAAAACATACATTCACTGCTCCAACATGGGAAGCAGTCCATACTGCAGACTCATAGAATAACAATTGCTTAAAGTAGCACTCTGACCTCAGAATCAGACCTTAAGGCATTCTGGTCTGGCTGAAAAGCCCATGAGAGCATTTTAGGCATGGAAAGCCAAGACTCTGGCAAAGAATATCCTACATGAAGGACCTCTCTTTGTAAGACCTCAATGGAAAGAAATCATCAGAGAACGAGATACTTTTCTCTGAAGGGAGCAGAGAACGTCCACTTTGCTTATGGCCTTGTCTAAATACTGATGGAGTTTGTGGATTCAAAAGGCTTCCATAGCCTAGGCAGCTCATGTCAAGAGCCTCAGGTGATCACTGATATCACACATAAAAGTGTTAATTATTAAATTAACAAGAGTCACTGTGCACTAATTTCCCATGCAGGACCTCTGTCATCAAAGAGTTGCATTATGAGAGTTAATAGTAAAACTTGTTCTCAAGGATTTTTTTTTCATTTTAGTGTATTAAGTGGAGGATATTCTTAATGTCTCATGAGTTTTAGTTACGCTTAAGTGTCCAACTCCATTGCTTCATTTCTTAGGTGCTTCCTTGATTAATGATAAAACTTGTTCTCAAGGACTTACTTTTTTTAATGTATTGAGTGAAGTATATTCTCATGTCTCATAAGTTATACTTATGTCTAAGAGCTTACAAAAGGTGTGTCATTCTTGCATGCTTCTTTAAAGTTAATTATGTTTCTAACAGAAAGTGAAATTAACTTCCAGATGCAGTGACTTTGAACAGCCTTTGTCTCAACTGTTGAGGAACAGGTTGCTTTTTTTTTTTCTCATGCAAATTGTTGAATTCTTTACTTAGTACAGAATTGGTCTTCTGTGGATAAAGTTAATTGAAAATGGATGATCTTAGTGGAGAATGGGACTGGGAATGGGGGAGGGAGGAAGAGGGGTGGGAATGTGGATGGGAGGGCAGGTATGGTGGGAAGAATCACTATAATCCTAAAGTTGTATGAAATGCATGAAGTTTATGGCTGGCACCATGGCTCACTTGGCTAATCCTCCACCTGCAGCACTGGCACCCTGGGTCCTAGTCCCAGTTGGGGTACTAGTCTCAGTTGCTCCTCTTCCAGTCCAGCTCTCTGCTGTGGCCTCGAAAGGCAGTGGAGGATGGCCCAAGTACCTGGGTCCCTGCACCTGCATGGGAGACCGGGAAGAGGTACCCAGCTCCTGGCTTCAGATTGGCACAGCACCGGCCGTGGCGGCCATTAGGGGAATGAACCAACAGAAGGAAGACCTTTCTCCCTGTCTCTCTCTCACTGTCTATAACTCTCTCTCTCTCTCTCTCTCTCTCTCTCTCTCTCTCTATAACTGTCTCTCTATCTAACTCTGCCTGTCAAAAAAAAAAAAGAAGAAGAAATGCATGAAGTTTGTATTCCTTAAATAATAGTCTTTTGGGGGAAAAAAAGAAGAAAACATACATTCACATGAGAGTGTGGGCCATCCCAAATGAGGAAACACCCATCATGAGTGGGCCAGAGGGTTGCCCATGAAAGAAAAAAGAGCAGTACCTCCAGGTGTGGGCTGTGATGGAAAGAGAACTTCATCCCATTCTCAGCCTCTTTTATGAGGTAGGGGATGGTACCTTAAGCAGATAAGCAAATTTGAGGGGGTGGTCCTAGCATCCACCTTGGTCCTGGATGAGACAGGCCCATCCTGGAAAAGTGGGCATATCAAGCCAACAGTTAGAGAAACGTTCCATTGCAGGGCTGCGAGAAGTCCAGCTCGCCTAAACCCAGCTACTCCACAGAACAAGCACACAGGATGACCTCAGGCGTGCACCTCCTCCCTCAGCTGTGTGGTCTGGAAGGCTACACAGTGATAGGCCAGTAAGGACTACTCCGGCCAGCATCCCCTCGCTCAGCTGTCATATATCTTGTGTGACCCAAAGACCCATTTGAGCCCAGTCAGCCTATACTCTCAATCAGCTGCCTCATGATTGTCGCAATGCTTGGGACTAGAAGTAACTCAGATTTCAGAGGGTTTTTGGATTTGTGAATATTTGCATACACATAATGAGACATCTTGGGGATAGGACCTGTTAGGACTTGCTAGGCCCTGGGACACAAATAGTTAACTTCAAATCTGATAGAATTAGGCATAAGTAAAATAACCCTGAAAGTGACATGGTGGAGTTTTATGCCCGAGAATCTGCTGGATTGGCACCAGCTTGTATAGCCCTTTGCCCAGGACATGCCAAGCTGGTAAGACCATGCATTGTAATTTGTCATCTTTGATAAACAGCTGTCAAAGAGGGTTGTCTTCCCATTCAGACCCACCTTACTGCAGCAGATGTGGGTCTCCACACTTAACCAGACTCCTCCCCCAACCAGCTACACAAAATAGGCAGTGCCTGGTGCAATGACACCTGGGTTTAAACCGCATCTGCTATCCAGGCGGGCTGAGCCCCAACTCCTCTTATCTATGATTCTGTGCCTCCTGGAATAAAGTCTTTCCTGGCTTACCTGATTATCTGAGTTCCTTCTTCGAACCCTGAAATCCTAAAGCCTGATAGGACCCAAGTGTAAACACAAAATTTACTTGCATTTCCTCTACAGTCTGCCTGCCATAAGCCTTACACGTTATGTCTAGCGCACCTGAGCTCTGACTGTGACCCATCGCGTGAGGTCAGGTGTGGAATACTCCATTTGTGCACTATGTCGATGTTCAGAGTGCTTTGGATTGGGAAGCATCTCAGGTTTTCAGATTAGGGATTCTCAACCTGGGGTGATGGGCTGTGACCTCGGGGGTGTGTCCCGCACTCACTATCCTGTCACGAGCGGCTGTTGCCTCAACTGGGAACCATCCCCTGTAGTGATTCTCCTCAGTAGTGGACTCTCCGCCAGTAACAACATCAGCCCCGGCTAGCTCACCCCAACCACAGCCCTGAGTTCACTCATCCCCAGTGGTGACCAGTAGCTCACACCCAGAAGCGACACCAGCCCCAAGTTTGACTCACCCCAGAGGTGAGCAAGGGATGGCCTGAGTCAGTAGCAGACTGTCCACACCCTAAGCAGACCCAGTCCTAGGGTCTGAAGTCCGGCCTGTAGCCCAGCTGTTCACAGTGATGACCCAGACACCAGGACAAATCCTGTACTACACACACACACACACACACACACACACACACGTGCCCACTCTACCGGACACAAACGGCAGAAGAACATGTGCTATGACAGCTTCCATCAGGCCTGCAGGGGTACTGGGAGGGGGGAAGAAGAGCCAGGACCAGCCCCCTGCCCCACCATCAGCCTCTGAAGGGATCTGCCACCAGCCCCTGGCCCTCATCAGCTTCTGAGGGGCTCTGCCCATGAACCAGACTGGGACTCCTCTGGGACCTCAGGGTGCTGAAGACCCCAGGAAGCTCGAGCTGCTAGCGTATTCCCTGCACCTGAGAAGTGGCAGCCACATTTCTCCCAGACACAACATGAACTTGGCAGTTTGACGTGCACCAGGCAGTGCCTGCCTCGTGGGCATTCTCACCTAGGACCAGCCCCATGATGCAATGTTAGGGCGGGAGACCCAGCATTATGGGCCGGCAGTTTAAGCCACTGCTTAGCAACACCAGCATCCCTTATCAGAGTGCTGGTTCAAGTCCTGGCTGCTCCGTTTCTAATCCAGCTCCCTGCTAATATGCCTGAGAGAACAGCAGAAGATGGCCCAGGTCCTTGGGCCTGTACCATCCACATGGGAGACCCAGAAGGAGTTCCAGGCTTCTGTCTTCCACCTGACCCAACCCAACCATTATAGCCATCTGGGAGGGCAACCAGCAGATGGAAAACTCTGTCTCCCTTCCTCTCCCTCTCCCTCTCCCTCTCCCTCTTCCCCTCCCTCTCTCCCTCCTTCTTCTTCTCCCCCTCCCCCTCCCCCTCTCTGTTACTCTGACTTTTCAGAAAAAAATATTTTTAAGGATGTTAGGGCCGAAGCAACACCTGCTCTTGCTTTGTCACTTTCCTCTTTGTTGCTCAGCATTGTCCACTAACAGGTCAGCAGCCACCTCTGATGAGGTGGCCGGTGTGATGTCAGGCCAGGGCTGTGTCCAGGACCGCAGGGTCTGCATTGCCTCGTGGCCACATTGTTTTGCACACTGTCGGCCATTGACACTTAAGGCTCAGAAGGCTCCTTGGGGCTGACCGGCCTGAGTGCAAAGACCTCATGTACAGCCAGCTGGGGGCCTCTGAGTTTTGTTGGCTGAGTTCCCACTCAAAAGTGGCTGCCTTTTAAGATGTCTCATGTGAAGGGCTGAGCAAGATCCTCGAGAGAGCATTGCGGACGGTGGGCGTGTTTTGCTGGCGGCCTCAGAGCCACGCGTTTGGTTTATAAAAATTCATTCATTTGAGAGGCAGTGCTTCACTCAGATGCCCACAGTTGGGTCAGGGGCCAAGGAGACCAAGAACTCAATCCAGGTCTCCTACGTGGCTGGCAGGGACTCAACTAGTTGAGCCATCACCTGCTGCCTCCCAGTGTCTGCACTAGCAGAAAGCTGGTCATGAACCCCAGGTACTCTGACGTAGGGTGCGGATGTGTCAAGCAGGATATTAACTTCCAGGCCAGTTGCCCACGCCAAGGCCAGCATTTTTATTCTCCTCATTTCTTCCCCATCTCATCAGCCCACAGCTCTTCTTTAGTTCAGGGGTTGTCCTTGAACGTCAGCCCAGTTGGTTCCCAACCTACTCCTTTTGTTTGTTGCTGTCACTGGACTCCGGAGGCTGGGTAACTTACAAAGAGGTTTATTGAGCTCACAGTTCCGGAGGTCCAAGGGCAAGGCGCCAGCCTCTGCTGACTGAGCTCTGAGGAGGGACTTGTGACCATGTGACTGTGTGGCAGATGGCAGCAGAGCAGGAGCACGTGCAAGCGAGAGGAGACAGGAAGCCGGAGGGACTTGGGCCACAGCAGTCCTCTGTAACCTTGGCCGTCAGCCTGGCCCTGGGTGAGAGCTGGGGCCCAGCTGCGTCCACCTAGATTGGGGCGTTGGTGTCCAACGCCAGTGCCTCAGATTGCGGCTATTCAGAGGTGCTTTGCAGGGGGAATTAAGATAGGCAGTCCCTAGCGTCCCTGTAACCGGGTCCTTCGAAGAGGAGGCAGTGAGGACAAGATAGCAGCTGCGACCCAGGGAAGCCCCAGAGGCAGCCAGTCCTGCCCACAGCTCAGGCGTGGAGGTCAGCCTCCGTAACAGTGAGAAACACGTGCTTCCAGAGCTGGAGCCGCCTGGTCCGTGGCCCGGGCAGACTTCACAGTGACTGTGGCCACGGCATTTTCCATCCTCCATCCAGGCCAGGCTGGCGGTGGCCGTGAGAAGCTCCAGCCGCCCCCCCTGTTGTGGCCCCCACGGTCTGGCGTCTCGTAGGGTGGGGACTGCGGGGTGGAGCTTGTGCAAAGAAGCCAGGAAGCAGAGAGAAGCTGCTGTGACTCTACGGTGCCCTCCCCTCCTAGGGACCCAGGTGTGTGGTGCAGTGGCTGATCCTCTGCGGGGGAGGCCTAGGTTTGAGTCCCAGCTCTTCCTGCCTGTTGCTTATGTCAGATGCACAGGAAAGCCGGAGCTGCCGTTTAGACAGCTGGGGAGGTGTGTCTTTCCCAGGGAAACCTTGAAGCCGAGGAGAGCTCTCGTGTCACATGTCTGGCGCGCTCTGCAGTGAGTGATGACACCATGAAGTGAAAACTCCGTGGAGGAGTCTATGTTATGTTCTCCATGGGTAGCTGCCCCTTCTGCTGTTCTGCGTCAATGTTTTGGCTTAAGGAGTGAGGCCTGGGAGCAAGCTTCTGGCTTAGCAATTAAGACACCCCTATCCTGTATTGCAGTCCCTAGGTTTGACCCCTGGCTCCAGCTCCTGGTTGCAACTCCTGCCAATGTAGACCCTGGGAGGCAGCAGTGATGGCTTAAATCGTCGGGCCTCTGCCACGCATGTGGAGGCCTGGATTGAGTTTCTGGCTCTAGGCTTTGGCCTCACCCAATCCCAGCTGATGTAGCTATTTGGGCAGTAAACCAGCAGATGGAAGATCTCAATCTTTGCATCTCAAATAGATTTTCCAAAAATAATAAGATTACTAGAAGAAAAAAAGGAAATGTGTGTCAATGCCTGGCCTCACATTTTCTAGCAGAGAAGAGAGTTTACTCTGGGGCTTTGCCTGCCTGATGTTCAAACAGCAGTCACAGGAACTGAGCAGAAGCGGGCATTGTCGGTGCTGGTGGGTGGGACGGCAGCGCCACCTGGTGTCAACTTTAAATGAACTGCAGTAGTGTTTGTACTTGCTTTGCCGGCCTGTTTTACCCTAAGGTGAATTAGCCAGGTACACCATGAACTGTTCATGGGTTCATCACTGGCACCCTTGGAACTGAACAGCTGGGGCTGGCATTGTGGCGCAGCAGGTTAAGCCACTGCTTGCAATGCCAGCGTCTCATGTTAGTGCCGGTTCAAGACCCGGCTGCTCCACTTTTGATCCAGTTCCCTGCTAATGCTCCTGGGAAACAGCATAAGCTGGCCCAAGTGCTTGGGCCCCGCCATCCACGTGGGAGACCTGGATGGGGTTCAAGGCTCCCGGCTTTGACCTGGCCTATTCTTGGCCTTTGTGGCCATTTGGGGAGTAAACCAGCGGGTGGAAGATTTTTTTTTCTCTCTTGCTCTCTCTAAAATATATAAATCTTTTAAAAAAAAATTGTTTAAAGCAAAGTCTTTTATTTATTTGAAATACTGTTACAGAGAGAGGTAGAGACAGTGAGATTTTCCATCCACTGGTTCACTCCCCAGATGGTTGCCACAGCCAGAGCAGTGCTGATCCGAAGCCAGGAGCTTGTTCCGGGACTCCCACATGGGTGCAGGGGCCCAAGGACTTGGGCCATCTTCTACTGCTTTCCCAGGCCACAGCAGAGAGCTGGATCGGAAGTGGAGCAGCCGGGACTCGAACCGGTGCCCATATGGGATGCCAGTACTTCAGGCCAGGGCTTTAACCCGCTGTGCCACAGCACTGGCCCCATAAATAATTCTTTTTTAAAAACCCATACAACTGCCTATAAATCAACCCTGTTCATCAAGAAAGCTAAAAGGGCGCTGGAGACAGAAGCCACTCTGAATCTTGTCAGCAGTCTTGTCTGTGGCTGGCTTTTGCCAACAGGCCAGGCAGCTGTGACCACAGTGCCAACAGCGGCAGTCTTGGCTGTCAAGTGAGGTGGCCCTGTAGAATGAGCCACTCGGGTACCCAAGGCCGCTGGCTAATGTCATCCACACAGCTCCAATGCACATTTTATCTGGTGAACTATTGGGGTAAAGATCTGATTTATTTATTTAAAAAAATATTTGAAAGGTAGAAAGACACAGTGACCTCCTGATCACTGGTAAGTCCCCAAAGGCTGGGAGACAAGAATCCAGGTCCCCACATGGATGGCAGGGACCCACCTACTTGGGCCAGTCACCCGCTTCCTCCCAAGTCTGCATTAGCAGAAATACTGGAACTGGGAGCTGAGCTGGGACTCAAACCTAGGCCCCCCACTGCACCACACACCTGCTGTGTCAGCTTGTTTGGTTTCTTCACCAAATAAAAGGTGTTCTATCCACCACTAAGGACAGTCCATTCACAATTTACTAAGTGTAAAACAAGCCCACGTAGACTAATGGAATGCAGCTCCAAGCTTCGTTTTCTTTCATGAGTTGCAGCAGTCTCTAATCAGCTTTAAAGTCAACCCCCATGATTCCTAGGCATCAGTCTGTGGGTGCTGCTTAGGAATCAGGCTGTGGTTTTGGATCCTGAGGCCCAGGTAGGACACCATGGCGTCCCCTGCCCCTGCTAAAGTAGGGTGTGGTGGGATAAAGGGGAATGGGGGGAACTTACAGGGCAGAGAGCTTCCAAATTGAATTGTTAAGAATAGAGGCATGGGGGGCCGGCACTGTGGCGAGTGGGTTAAAGCCCTGGCCTGAAGCGCCGGCATCCCATATGGGCACCGGTTCTGGTCCCAGCCGCTCCTCTTCCGATCCAGCTCTCTGCTATGGCCTGGGAAAGCAGTGGGAGATGGCTCACATAAGAGACCTGGAGGAAGTTCCTGGCCTCGGATTGGCACTGCTGTGGCCATTGCGGCCATCTGGGGAGTGAACCATCGGATGGAAGATTCTCTCTCTCTCTCTCTCTGCCTCTCTGCCTCTCCTCTCTGTAACTCTTTCAAATAAATATCTTTAAAACATAATTGAAGCATGACCTGGGCCAACCGCTAGTGACCCAGGCCCATCATCATCATCATCATATTATTTGAAAGGCAGAGAGCGCGAGCCTCCATCCACTGGTTCACTGTAACAGCTGAGACAGATGCAGGCCAAAGCCCAAAGCCTGGAACTCATCCAGGTGTCCCACAGGAGTGGCAGGGCCCTAAGTACTTGAGCCACTACTTGCTGCCTCCCAGGGTGCACATCAGCAGGAGACTGGACCCGGGAGTGGACCCAGGACCTGAGCCCGGACACTCTGACAGTGGATGTGGGTGTCCCAAGTGGCAAGCCCCTGCCCCAGGCCCACGTCTCAGTATGTGCAAGGGGCATTATTTTATTTCTCAAATTGCACCCCTCCCCTTAAAGATTCTCCGAGGTAGGCTAAGACAGTATTGCAGATTTTCAAGTTGTCTTGTAAAACCACTGCCCACCTAGTCTTGGTTCTGTTGGGCGGTGAAGCCCGGCCTGAAATTGGCCCTCCTAACAGCCGAATGTATTCTGCGTGTGTGTGAGCAGGGACTGTGGAGTCCTAACCCACTCACATCATGCATGCTTTGAATTAAAGTACTTTCACTCTAAGTGTCCTTTGAATTTTTACCTGTAGCTTATACTTTGAAAGCAACCTCCCAGTATTGTCTTGAAGTCTGTAATATTCATAGACATTGCTCACAGTGACTCTAACATTTGCCTAAGGCTGAGTCTCGCCTGGTGAACTCAGAAGCTCCGGCAGAAAACTAGCGCTGTGTGCACCATTAATACACGTTCCATTCAAATATTAACCTCAAAGGAGGGTAAACTGATGTTCATAGCGCGAGCTGGCATGAATCTGCCTTTGTGTGCAGCAAAGAACCCAGTTCACTGCGTGGAGACATTCACTCCCGCCCCGGGCTCGCCTGTTGACTATCACACATTGGCTGGCTGGCTGCAGCTCAATGAAGACCTCAAACAAATCCACACAGAGACAGCCATCGGAATGTTATTTATTTGCGAAGCAGAGCAAGCTTCCAGCAGCTGGTTCACCATGTCCCCCGTCAAATGCTCACAACCGCTGAGACTGGGCCAGCCTGAAGGTGGAAGCCAGGAACTCCATCCAGGTCTCCCACGTGGGAGGCAGGGGCCTGCTGCCTCTCAGGGTGTGCACTGGCACTGACCTATGAAACGTGGGTGTCAACCAACAGGCCAAATGCTTGCCCCCATCAGCTCTCGTTAGAGAAACACAGACCACCGGGTTTTGACAAGGCAGCAGAGGGCCAGTGGCTGTTGGCCTTCACCTGCCCCCGTCTGGAAGGTCAGACAGGCAGGGGCCTTAGAGAGGAGCGAGCCACTTGCACTGGCGGCAGCAGCCCTCCCGGCTGGGGCTGACTCACTTGTGGATTTTTTTTTTTTTTTTTTGACAGAGTGGACAGTGAGAGAGACAGAGAGAAAGGTCTTCCTTTGCCGTTGGTTCACCCTCCAATGGCCACCGCGGCCGGTGCACTGCGGTCAGCGCACCGTGCTGATCCGAAGCCAGGAGCCGGGTACTTATCCTGGTCTCCCATGGGGTGCAGGGCCCAAGCACTTGGGCCATCCTCCACTGCACTCCCAGGCCACAGCAGAGAGCTGGACTGGAAGAGGGGCAACCAGGACAGAATCCGGCACCCCGACCGGGACTAGAACCCGGTGTGCCAGCGCCGCTAGGCGGAGGATTAGCCTAGTAAGCCGCGGCACCGGCCCCACTTGTGGATTTTAGTAGCGATGTTCTTAGCCTCAGCAAACACTTCCGGTAGTAACAAGGCCACTAACTGGGTTGCCAGTTTCAATACCACCCCCTTCCTCTAAAACTCAACATTTGTCAGCAGTAGCACAGCAGGTGGGACATGGCGGGAACCTTACTCCCTCGCCACCTGCCATGTAGGCAGGAGCTATGCTCAGGGGCCATGTTAACCCCTGACCAGGCTCCCACGGCCCCTCCCAGGAGGGCACGGTGCCTCTGCCTTACCCACTCCCAGTTCCATGTCCTGCCCTCACACCTCCCAGTGAGATGGTGCCCCTACCTCCCATCCCTGGGCTCCCTCACCCCACCCAGACGTGGCCCAGGAGTCCTGCCCAAGGGTTACCCTTCCCACGTGCTTGCTTGTGGGAGCTGCTTCAGGTCAGACGGGGTGGAGTGGGGACCCTTCTGCATCAACAGTGAGCAAGCCTAAGGGCCGGCGTCCAGACCCAGGCCTGTGCCACTCCAGGTGCAGCTCACAGAGCCCACCCCACCCGCTGACCCAGAGCCCGGGAGGGGACTAGAGGAGGTCCTCCGGCCCGCCCCTGCACACAGATCCTTGCTGCGCAGCCTGCCCCTGTGGGTGCCCTTCATAGGTGGAGCAGCGCACCCGGGGAAGGCGGGCCCAGACAGAATTCTGTGCCTTCACCATACTGCTGGTCCCCGCCCCCCACGCCCACCCCATCCCCAGGCCTACCTCCCCCCATCCCAGTCCCAGCCGGGTCCTGTGGCCAGCCGCCGCAGCTTCCACTCCCACGAGCGTCAGAGCCGCACCTCGGCTCCCACCACTCCCTGGGGGTTCAGGGGGCAGGGTGCAGCATGCATCTCCAGCTCAGGGGTGTGGCCCCACCTTCTATACTCCATGGAGATGGCCTGAGGCCACTTATATTTTGACAGGCAGAGTGGACAGTGAGAGAGACAGAGAAAAAGGTCTTCCTTTGCCGTTGGTTCACCCCCCAGTGGCCGCACCGCGCTGATCCGAAGCCAGGAGCTTCTCCTGGTCTGCCATGCAGGTGCAGGGCCCAAGGACTTGGGCCATCCTCCACTGCACTCCCGGGCCACAGCAGAGAGCTGGCCTGGAAGAGGGGCAACCGGGAGGCCATTTATTATTATCCCTCTGGTTCCTAGTTTCAGGCTGCGTAGAGGGGGTGGTCCTGGCCCAGGCCGCTAAAGACATTCCGGAGAGAGGTAGAGGCCGAGTAGGAACGCCAGTGTGACCCCAGCTGGACACTGCCGCCTCTCCCCGGCAGTGTCCCCTGAGGCGAACGGAGGCCATCTCACACGGCCCCCCGAGCAGCACGGCTCTAGGAGCCTCCCGACTGGCACTGCCCGGCCCCACGCCCGCCCCTTCCGTAGCCCTGCCGTGCTGGTCTTCAGCCCCGGGGCCTCTGCACCTGCGTCCTTGTCCAGTGCGCTGCACGGATGGCCGCTCTAGGCTGGGCTGATTACGCACCAGACACCCGGCGCCCTGCACGGCGGCAGAGGGGGCGAGGCCTGGGGCACGGAGCAGTGACCCAGACGTCCTGCCCAGGAAGCGGGCACAGTCTGCGCCCCAGCAGGGCATGGGGCCGACCCCAGTGCCGCCTCTGCCTAGCCTCTGACGATGCACGAGACCGAGTTCTTTTGGGCCTTGGCCTTTGACCTCTCACCCCGCGCGGTGGGGCCACGGGAGGACAGGAACGACAGACGACTGCTGGAGGTGGCGCGACTGCGGCCGCCGCAGACCCTACGAGCAACACGAAACTCTTCAAAATCCCGCGACGGGACTGGGCGTCGCGGTCGGAGGAGGCACTAGCAGTATTCTCCCAGGAGCCTCCGCGGAGGGGCGGGGCGGAGCCGGGCGCGCGGCGCTCAAGACTGACGTCAAGGGGCGGGGACACGCCGCGCTCGGAACGGACGTCAGGGGGCGGGCCGCGCCGCGCCCAGGGTGGATGTGAGGGGGCCGCGCCGTGGACTGTTGTAGGGGCACCGCCGAGACGCTGCCTGGAGGGCGCGGGCGCCATGGAGCGCTACGCGGGCGCCCTGGAGGAGGCGGCGGACGGGACTCGGCAGCAGGAGCGGCACTACCAGCTGCTGTCGGCGCTGCAGAACCTGGTCAAGGAGCTGCCCAGGTGCGCGGCTGCGGGCTGGCGAGGCTGGTGCAGCGGGTGCAGCGGGCAGCCGGGGCGGGCGGAACCCCGTTCGCGCTCACCGCGCCCCCTCTGGTGCCCGCAGCTCCTTCCAGCAGCGCCTGTCCTACACGACGCTCAGCGACCTGGCCCTGGCGCTCCTCGACGGCACCGTGTTCGAGATCGTGCAGGGGCTCCTGGAGATCCAGCACCTGACCGAGAAGAGCCTGTACAACCAGCGCCTGCGGCTACAGAACGAGCACCGAGGTGCGCGGGGGGCGCGTCGCCCGGGAGGGGGCCCGGGACTGGCCAGCTCCGGGGCGGCAGGTGCATCTGCCTGGCTGTGCTTCCCCCAGCCCCCTGCCTGCCGGGACGCGCAGAATCCCCCTCCTCGGGCTTCCCGGTGCCCCCACCCGCTCCCGGGCAGGATATCTCGAGGCCTGGTGCTTGGTCGGCCCACGAGCAGACCGTCTGGCGCCGCGGGGAGGGTCGCCTTTGGCCTGCTCTGCGGGACACCACAGCACTTGGGCATCCCTGAGGACTGGGGTTCTCAACCCAGCACTGTGACATCTGTGGCTGGAGTAGTTGTGGTTTTTTTGGTTTGTTTTTTGTGTTTTCTGCTGATACACCGCCCTGTCTTCAAGCAGCTCTGGGGGCCAGCCCAGAATGGAGAGCCGGCCGGCTGGGACAGGGACGCTGTCAGCATCACCACGCAGGGCATCCTCCCGGGAAACGAACCGTTGTAGGTGTCTCAGGACCCAACCCTTCCTGACCTCCCCAGTTGCTGGGGGACTTGTAAGCAAGGAGCCAGGCTAGGTCCAGACAGTGCATTGGGTAATTTTGGTCTCTACCCGCGGGGACTCCGGAGAGGCCAGGGCAGACCGGTCCCTGCCTCTGGGTCTGTCGCGCTGTCACTTGGCCGCTTTCTCCACTTTGTGTATCCTGTAGCCTGAACAGCAGGCAAGGCACAATTAGATACGGTGTAAGCGTTGGTCCAGAAAGTTCCGCCTGGTGTTGGGGGGCCCCAGGCTGAGTCCTTCTGTCCCAGCATCTGTGTGTTTCTACCAGGCGTGGGAGACAGCTGTCACACCCTCACAGCATCTGTTGAGAGCTCAGGTGGTTCTTCTCTTACTCTGGTTTTTGAATTCCTAGGGTCAGCTGCATTATCCTGGGATGAATTCTACTGGAACGGGTTGATTGTCCTTTATGGGGACGTTAGGTGTTTTTTTTTTTTCTTTTAAGATTTTATTTATTTATTTGAGAGGTAAAGTTACAGTGAGAGAGACAGAGAGAAAGGTCTTCCATCCAAGGGTTCACTCCCCAAATGGCTGCAACGGCCGGAGCTGCACCCATCTGAAACCAGGAGCCAGGTGTTTCTTCCTGGTCTCCCATGAGGGTGCAGGGCCCAAGGACTTGGGCCATCTTCCAGTGCTTCCCAGGCCACAGCAGAGAGCTGGATCGGAAGAGCAGCAGCCGGGATTAGAACCAGCGCCCGTATGGTATGCCGGTGCTGCAGGCGGAGGATTAACCTACTGCGCCACAGCGCCTGCCCCAATGTGCTCATCTCTCGTTAAGAATGTCTGCCTCGCCGGCGCCACGGCTCACTAGGCTAATGCTCCACCTTGCGGCGCCGGCACACCAGGTTCTAGTCCCGGTCGGGGTGCCGGATTCTGTCCCGGTTGCCCCTCTTCCAGGCCAGCTCTCTGCTGTGGCCAGGGAGTGCAGTGGAGGATGGCCCAGGTGCTTGGGCCCTGCACCCCATGGGAGACCAGGAGAAGCACCTGGCTCCTGCCATGGGATCAGCGTGGTGCGCCGGCTGCAGCGTGCTGGCCATGGCGGCCATTGGAGGGTGAACCAACGGCAAAGGAAGACCTTTCTCTCTGTCTCTCTCTCTCTCACTGTCCACTCTGCCTGTCAAAAAAGAAAAAAAAAAAAAAGAACGTTTGCCTCTAGGTTCATACAGACACTGGTCTGTGAAACCTGGGTGCCAGGGTGAGGCTGGCATCACAGGACGAGCTGGAAAGTGTTCTGGTCAGTCTTGCAAAGCGCTCGTGTCTTCCATCTGCTGGTTCACTCCCCACATGGCTGCAACAGCCAGGGCTGGGCCAGGCCAGGCCGAAGCCAGGAGCCTGGCACAGTCTCCCTTCAGCAGGAGAGTGTCTGGAAACTGGACCCTTCGCTGCTTGTGCGTTGGAAGGCTCTGGCCCCATTCTGTGGCAGCTGGCGATGGCCAGGCCTCGCCACCGTCCTGTGTCAGCAGGTGTGATTGGCTGCTGCCGCCTTCCTTGCTCTCCATGGCCACTGCCAAGGCCAGGCCCCTTCTGCGGGGGCAGCCAGCAGCTCTCCCCCTCGCGGGTGCTCACCCTGTGGAATCTGGGAGTTGAGGGTGGATAAATGGAGTGGAGGTGACGTTTCCCTGCTGACCCATTTCCCAGCGGCCTGTGTCCTCCTGGTGTGGCACCGTTGCCCGGCCACACAGGAGTCTTGTTCCTGTTTATGGAGATGACTGCAGGGCTCCTGGCTTCAAACATGTTCCCTGTGGCCGGTGCCATCACCGAGGTGTGTGCAGGGATAGGCGGAGCAGGGGGCTCTCCCCAGGGGCAGCCAGACATAGCCACGTCTTTGTGACCTGCATTGTTTTCACCCCTCGGTACCCTCCTCTCTCCATGCCCATGGGACTGGACGCCTTGCCCCCATCTGTGTCACGGCCCAGCCATGGGTGAGCAACAGACTCCCCCACACAGAGCCCCCTCCCCCACTGCTGTGCCGGGGTCGGGAGCCACAGCTTCTGGACACCAGCCCCAAGGCTGGAGCAGGGGCCCATGCCCTGGCACAGCGCCCATTCTACTCCGCCTTTGTCCCTGGTGTCCTCCTGGACGGTTTGAGTGTCCCCATGGGTGAAGGGGCAGGCACATACGGAACTGGCCTCTCGTGGCCAGCCGAGCCAGAAGCCCCCAGGCTGCAGCTCTGGTCCAGCCCACGCCAGCCCTCCCTGCCCCACCCCCACCCCCACCCCCACGACCTCACTGATGGAGAGAAGAATGTGTCTTGGGTGAGGCCGAGCCTGGGGCTACTGAGGGCCCACCCCTAGGGGCAGGGAGCAGCTGGGGTCCTGCCCCGCTTCCCAGAGCAGGGCTTTGGGCCAGGGGGTCACAAGATGGGGCTCCCTGTGTACCCCTTCGGCCTGGCCACTCTGGCCGGCGTGCAGGGGCAGGCACTGTGGGCCCCTCTTCAGCCCACCTGCTGACGGCCCTCACCCCTCCCAGTGCTCAAACAGGCGCTGCGGCAGAAGCACCAGGAAGCCCAGCAGGCCTGCCGGCCCCACAACTTGCCCGTGCTGCAGGCGGCCCAGCAGCGGGAGCTGGAGGTAGGGGGTACAGGAAGGGCGGCTGGGCCTGGCTCCTCCTGTGGGCGCCGCCTGAAGGTCCCAGGTGGCTCTGGGAGCTGGGGGCCGCTCTGGGAGGCCTCAGAGGCCCAGTGAGTCCCAGCACACGGCTGTCCTGTGGGGGCTGGGTGGAGGTTGAAGCCTCGTCTGCAATTCCCCTGCCCCCAGACGGGGGCTGCTTGTAGGCTGGGCCTGCACAGAGCAGGTGCCGAGTGGGGGGGCAGGACCTGCCAGGAAGGGGCCATCCTTGTTCCAGGGAGACCAGCAGGTAACCCACAACCTATGGGGTAGGAGGGGTCTGCAGAGAGGCATTTGGGGTCAGCCCCAAGCCACTTGGCCTGACACAGAGAAGGGATTGACAAGGATACTGGGGATGGGTGAGGGCAGGGAGAAGGTGGCAGGCAGGAATGGGGCGGGGGAGGGGACCGAGCCCAGAGCCGCCTTCACGCTGCCTTCCCGTGGCAGGCGGTGGAGCACCGGATCCGCGAGGAACAGCGGGCGATGGACCGGAAGATCGTGCTGGAGCTGGACCGCAAGGTGGCCGACCAGCAGAGCACACTGGAGAAGGCTGGCGTGGCCGGCTTTTACGTGACCACCAACCCACAGGTCAGCCCCGGGGCCTGCAGCCTGGTGGCTTCCACCTGGGGTTCTTACCACCCCAGGCCCGGGGCAGGGGCACAGGCGAGATGGGACTTAGGGCCCGGGAAGGGTTTCTGTGCTGAGCCCAGCACGGAGGCTGGCCCTGCTGGCCCCAGGAACAGTGCCACCATGCCTGGGCCTCCTGGGGCAGAGACCCAGCTTCTCTCCTTCCTGGTCTAGGCTACGGGGCAGTGGCCAGGGGAGACCAGGTCACTGTAGCCCTCACCAGTCCCCTCTGCCTCCCAGGAGCTGACGCTGCAGATGAACCTGTTGGAACTCATCCGGAAGCTGCAGCAGAGGGGCTGCCAGGCGGGGAAGGCGGCCCTGTGACCAGGCGGGCTCCCTGCTGGCTGCCCGCTGCCCAGCTCCTCCCCTGAGGCGTGGACACCGCTTTCCCAGCCGCTTGCAGGGGTCGCCCTACTGAGGCCGGTGGCCCCCGGCTGCCTGACTGAGTTTTTCTGTACAAACGCAAGGTTGGTGTCCTAACTGGAAGGCACAGCCGGCGCCTGCCCCAGGACTCGGCGGAGAGGGCTCCTTCTCCCCACAGGCCAGCTGGACCTCCCCCAAGCCCCGGGCTTCTGCTGCTTCTGCTCCCAGGGCGAGGGGCGCCAAGCTGGGCGCCCGTGTGACCCAGAGAAATAAAGGTGCCTCAGGTAGGCCTGCACGTGGCTTGTGTGGCAGCTCAGAACGGCCCTCCTGAGGCAGCCGCCACGCTGGGGCAGAGGCCTGGCCCCGGTCCCTGAGGGGGCTGGACTGGTGCTGTCGGGGTGAAGGACACGGAGCACTAAGGACCCGTGCAGGGGCAGCCCTAGGAGCATCTGCACGCACCCTGCCCACACAGCGGAGCCCTCGGGCCCCTCTGGACCCTGGGTTACGGAGTTAGCGGAGGGGTGTCCAGCTCCCCAGCTGGCTGGGTCTTTGCTGCCCCACCCCCAGGGCCCGCAACTGCCACTGCTCCTTCCAAGCCACTTCCTCCTTCCAAGCCACTTCCTCCTCTGCCAGAGCTGACCTTACGCAGGGCCCCCTTGCTGGGATACAGACCTCGCAGCTAGGAGAACAGCAGTTTATTGACCTGGCAGGCTCCCCAGCCAGCCCACTGCACACCCACAGGGCTTGGGGGCTATGGCTCAGACCCTGGCAGGTGGTGGTTGGTCCTTTGGGGTCGAGGACGTGGGGGGATGCAGAGGTGGGGCGCCATGCCCACTCCCTGGAAGCACAGTTGAAGCCCTCGCAGGTGTCAGACACGGCCCACGCCTGACCGCCCCACCCTCCAGCAGCCTGGACGCCTCGGGTGCACAAACAAGAATCCGGGGGGGTGCGGGTGCAGCTGCATGAACAGCCCGGGCCCACCCAGGCCAAAGGCCCCTGGAAAACAGCTGGAGGAGGCGGAGTGTGGAGGCCTCGGGTAGCAGGGGGCTGGCGGTGGCCGGCGACCTGGTGGGCGCTAGGCCGGGTGGGAGAAGAGGCTGCCAGTGCGGAGCCGCCGCTGGACTTCTGTCTCAATGGCTGACGCTCCCGCTGGGCGCCCTTCATGAAGCCACTGTTCTCCAGGGCGCGGCGCGACAGGTAGGGCAGCACTTCCATCACGGGGCCGTAGGGCACGTACTTGTACACGGGGAAGCCCGCCTGGCCTGCACACAGGGCCCAGGCGGCCGTGAGTCCCCGGCACCACCTGGAGGCCCTCCCCCAGCACCTCCCAACCCAGGGAGGCCTGGCTTACCCAGGGGGAAGCTGATCTGGTCACACATGCCCAGCAGCTGCCCGAAGTACACCTGGCGGTCGGCGGGATGCAGGCCCAGCTCCTCCATCCTGTCAGCAGTGAGGGCCCCAGGGCAACGTGGGGCTCCTGCCTTAGCTCCCAGCCCGCCTTGCTACTGCCACACTGCCCCCCGCCCCGCCGCCACCCACTGTAGCCTCTGCGCCCCGTGGGGTAGGACCAGGGTATGGGCTCTGCAGCCGGGCTGCTTCTAGCAGGACCCAGCTGGGCTGCCCATGGCCAGCAAGGCCCCCTCCTTCTCCCTCCCTCCCCAGCTGCACAGGACAGACCCGGCCAGCAGCCTGCCCCTGATCCAGGGAAATTCGACCTCCCACTGGCCTCCCGTGCTGCCCCTCCCCACAGCTGGCCTGCCCCAGCGACGGCAGCTCAGGCCCTCAGCAGGCAGCCACTCTGAGGGACAGCGGTGTCAAGGGCAGAGGCTGGGCCGCCACATGAAATGTTCACAACTCCATGCACAGTAAAAATGCAACTGGTGCACTGCTTTTCTACAGTACGTGAAGGCGTGAGATTGCGTATGCACTGGGCTAATTAAAACACACTATTGAGGGGCTGGTGTGGTGGCACAGCAGGTTAAGCCGCCTGCTGCAACGCGGCATCCCATATGGGCACCAGCTGTTCTACCTAGAGATCCAGCTCCCTGCTAATTCTCCTGAGGAAGCAGTAGAAGATGGCCCAGATCCTCAGGTGCCTGCACCCAGATGGGGGGCCCAGGTGGAGTTCCAGTTCTGGCCTGGCCCAGCCCAGCCTTGGCTGTTGCAGCCATTTGGGGAGTGAGCCAGCAGAAAGACTTCTGTCTCTCCCTCTCTGTCTTATAAATAAATAAAGCTTTAAAAAAAAGAAATTCAGTTTTTGAAAAATCATTAATTTCATGTGACTAGAAGTTTTAAAGTCCAGACATGGTTCACATTCTGTTAGCACAGCTTAGACCTTGGCACGGGGGTGGGGGTACCCAAGTCCTATCTTCACACTTCCCCTTGTAGGATCTTAGTAACTTCCTAGGGTTTACAGGAGCTACGTGCTGATGGTTCCCACCCGGTAACCCCCAGCTTCCTAGACCCGAGCACCAGACCTAGCACACCTGCTGCACCTGCCCACTGCCCACCGCCCCCCGGGCTGGGACCTGAGCTCTCCCACCCCAGGAAGGTGGAGACCGAGAGAGGTACAGGAAATAAGAGGCCTGGCGCAGGTGCCCCTGGGGCTGGGGCGTGAGGTGGGCACTGGAGAACCTGCTGTAACTCCTTTCTGCGTTGGACTCGTTAGAATCCTGCCAGAGCTGTGCTCCACGCGGACAAGCTTTTAAGGCGGGAACAAGCTATATCCCATTCCAAGCGCTGCTTAAAACGTTCCGGGAAACGTTATAAAATGAGGCCGTGCACTGGAGGGGTCTCGGGAGGGGACTCAGATTTAACGCCGGGTCTATCCATTGCATGTCAATAAGCTGTTGAAATCGCCTAATGATGTTTTTTTATTCATTTTTGAAGCTGCTAGTACCTGCCTTATCTCCCACAGTGCAGCCCCTGCAGACCTGAGCACCCCCGAGCCCAGGCCGTGGCCCCCTCTGCCAGCCACAGACTCAGGGCAGGGCCTACCTGCGCAGCGTGAAGCGAACCGTGTCCTCGTTGTGGGAGGCCACCATCACCTTGGCCCTGGGGTTGTGCTTCAGTTCCTCCAAGACGTAATTGAGGCACCTGAGGAGAGGGCTGTATGAGCCCAGCCTGAGGTCCACTTGCCACCCTCCCTGCTGGCCCTGCACCGGAAGGAGGCCTTGGGCCAGGCCAGGGCCCTGCAGTGCGCCGTATCCGAGGGGACAGAGACAGCACCTGTCCACCCTCCCCCACCCCTCAGAGGGTAATGCACTGCTGGGATATAGCAATGTCTGGGACTACACAGCCCACGTGGGGGCTGCTGGGGTGCAGTGTCCCCGGCATCACGCTGCATAAAAACATCACCAAGACAAGCAGCCTGAAAAGCAGGTGCAGGACCACCAGGCTCCGCCGGTGTGAATAGGCAGCAGGGAGCGCTGGGGTACCATGGCCAGTTTGTTTTCAAGCACACTGTTCTAGGTTTTAAAAAGGAGAAAACCTGGGGCTGATACAGTGTGCAGGGGCTAAGTTGCCACCTGCTGCACCAGCATCTCATGTGAGTGCTGGTTTGAGTCCTGGCTATTCCTCTTCCAATCCAGCTCTGCTAACATGCGTGGAAAGCAGTGGCAGATGGCCCGGGCTTAGGCCCCTGCACCCTTGTGGGAGACCCAGATAGAGTTCCAGGCTCCTGTGTTCAGCCCCAGCTGGGGAGTGAACCAACAGATGGAAGATTTCTCTCTCCCTCTCTCTCTCTCTCCCTGTTTCTCTCCCCCACCCCGCCCCGTACCCTCCCAACTCTGCCTTTCAAATAAATAAATTTAAAAAAAAAAAAGGAAAAGCCTTAATGATTTCGAGAAAGTGACCCAGAAAAGTTCTGGCCTCAGAACACACCCCTCCCCTTGCTGCTTCTGGAGGCCTGGTCCCCAGAGAGGAGTCTAACCACAGCGTGAAATGGCTCCCCAGTCCCCCAGGTCCCGCCCCCGAAGTGCACCTGTGGTACATGGCGTTGGTGGCCTCGTACGTGGGGTTGATGGGATCCTCGTAGCCGATCTCCGCGGCCCGGGCACGCTCCTGGGCCATGTAGGCGCCTCGTACCAGCTTGGCCCCGAAACACCAGCCCTCCCTGCGGGCCAGCTCCACGTCCAGCGTCACGTTGTCATAGGCGTCCTGCGGGGGCCGGTGGAGAAGCGGCTGAGCCGCGACAACCAGGACAGGTGTTCCTAGGGCCCAGTCAGCTGAGGGCACCCAGGCCAGGCAGCAGCTGCCTGAGGAAGGGGGCACAGCTCAGGGAACCTGGGAGACAGGGCTGGGTAGCATGGCTGACTTCTGTCCCCAAACAGCGACAATGACAACAACCTCTGAGGCAAGAGAAATGCATTCCCAGGAAGCTTTTGTGATTTGGGGTTCAAGGAACACCAGACTCCGACAGGGCTCCTCCGGCTTCCTCCCCACTAAACACTCTTGCCTGGGTCCCAAGGCCCAGAGCAGGCGCTGGGGACAGGGCTCCAGGAGGCCTTGCTTCCCGCTCACCTGCTCAGGGACCCCAGCCTCAGTCTCCCCTGCAGGGCCAGGCGCAGCTGCCGGGGCCAGGCTGAGTGAGGTCAGCTCTGTTACGCACGACCCACCCACGGAGCCCTCTGGGCGACAGCCTGCTCCCTGCACTGGCCGTCCCAAGAGCCCCCTGCTTGGGCTCGGGCTAGGGGCGCCCGACCTGGTGTGGCCAAGTCCCAGGCACACAGGTGAGGCTGGAGCGGAGCCCTGGAGTGCGGGCTGGGGCGGGAGAAGGGAGCGACCCTGCCTTGAGGTAGCACTGGTAGGTGTTGAAGATGAGTGGTTTCTCCACGTTAAACTTGCGCTGCATCTCCAGTGTCAGGCGGCCGATGGCCGGCTGGAAGTAGGACTGCTCGGCGTCCACCATCAGCCGCACGCCCACTTCTGTGGCTTTCTGAAGGGGCAGAGAATTACGGCTCGAGCGAGGCCGGCAGGTGCCCACCCTCGGCACCCGCCGTGCACCTGGCCCTACCTTGGCCAGCACGTCCATCCTCTGCAGCATCCGGGTCATCTGCATCTCCTCCTCCTCGGTGAACCGTGACAGCAGGGGCTCCAGCTGCCCTGTCTGGGTCCCAGGGGAGGGGTGGGGAGGGGGCGGGGAGCAGCGTGCGGTGAGGCCACCAGCAGGGCCCCACCAGCTCCACCTAGAGGCCAGGCCCATCCCTGTCATCGTAGCAGCCCCTCAGACCCTGAGCACCCACTCACCCCTTCACACAGGTTCGGGGGACCACCTGGGCCTGCCCCTCCCCCACC